CCCGTTGTGGTTAACACGCGGTAACATGGTTTATTGTACGTGTCCTTATGTTTGATGATTAGTTACAAACGGGTTTTAAGAATTCAGTAGTTATACTCAATTTTCTTAACTTAATGTTTATCTAATAAGAGTCAAGGAATATTTCACAAGAGTTTTTGAGAACATTCAAAGGTATCATTTGATTTAGCACTGGTTATGTGTTTTTGATTGTAAGTTTTTACTGTGCTGATGATTCAAAGACTAACTTTCTCACAAAAATACGGCATTCAGCCTTGCGTTTAATTCCAAAATTAGGCAATTAATGCACACACTAGTCAAACACTGTTTGAGGCAGAGGAATGACACGAAAATAATTGATTGATTGTATGTTGTTAAACGTCCAATTGAAAACTTTTTACTCATGTAGAGACGTCACAATATCCGGTAAAGGCTTTCAATTTAGACCTTTTCTCGGCACTGAGGGCAATAGTGAGGGTTTCTGTCTCAGCTAGGATACTGACAGATGTGTCTAGTTTTTGAAATACTTTGTTTTTCTCAGCTTCGCATTTTATTTGGAATTGTCTTTTTGAAATGGTTGTTGTTTTGTCCACATGACTTTCTTGAATGATCATGGTAGTTAAGTTTTGTCCTCATGTATTTTTGTCATTGAACATCTTGTTATAAGCATTGTCCTTATGCTTTTCACCATAGAACAGTTTACTTAATTTGGTCCCCATGCTTTTCATCATTGAACATTTTGTTTAATTTTGTCCTTATGTTTTTTATCATTGAAAATCTTGTTTAATTTTGTCCTCATGGTCTTCATCATTGAACATTTTATATAATTCGATGCTCATGCTTTTCATCATTTAACATCATGTTTAGTTTTGTCATGTTTTTCATCATTGAAAATCTTCTTTATTTTTTTCCTCATGCCTTTCAACACTGGACATCTCGTTCAGTTTGTTCTCATGATTTTATCATTGAATAACTTATTTAGTTTTCTCAACTATGTTAAGGAAGGAAATGGAGAATGCGATCTAAGTACCTTCTGAATATGTATAATTTAAAAAAATCTTTTTAACAAAGTAACTGTATACATGTAGGAAAGGTAATATAGATATCATAATGGATAGGTCTGTGCCGTACTCAGTACCATTTACATCGCATGTATCAGTTGTGTGTCACGTGACTGGTATAAAAATAGAATTGTTAAGCTGAATGTAGAAATTGAGGCCAGTGTAAGGGCATACGCATCTTTTTGGAGAAAAAAATTGTTACACGTTAAAAAAAGATTTACATTGGCTACCCGAAAAGTGCTGGGAGCTTTTTTGAACTGTTTCGGAAATACTCGTAATTTTGCTGAAAATGCGTACAATAGCTAAAAATTCCCACTTCGCTTAAATTCTGTCATGAATAAAATAATGTTATGCCGACCAGAATCAGCTCCAAGCAATTTTTGAAATATACACGAAATAAGCAATTGATATTCCATATTTCAGCTCAAACAGTCTAGTCTATGTCCTTGCACTTTTGAGGGTTAATTAGGAATACACTTACAATGTTAGCGATATTCTTTACATTCTCTGTCGTAATGCAGCTCCATAGCACCTAGATAAATTAATAATCTACACAATTGTTTTAAATAAATTATTTCCTTTCAGTTTTATTGGTTAGATTTAAACATTGGAGATGGTTTTATATTTATCTATGGATTTTTCTAATTTTTGAACTAATGGATCCACTCCTCTGGATCACCTGTACTGCGTCAAGTCAAGTGACGTCATTTATTACACAAGATTTGCTTCTTATTACTCGGCAGTACTCTTATCAAATGTAATGATTTTACATGCTTTTATAAATAATTGATAAAATAAATGAATGCAAGTTGTCATTTACGCCTTATCATGTGGTTAAATTGATGTTTTAATGACGTCACAATGAAACTTCCGATATGGTACATCACAAATATGAACTCAGGCCCTCCTTAACGTAGTTGAGTTGTCCTCATGCTTTTTATCATTGAAAATCTTGTTTAATTTTGACCTCATGCTTTTTATCATTGAACATTTTATATAATTTGGTCCTTATGCTTTTTCATCATTTAACATCATGTTTAATTTTGTCTTCATGTTTTTCATCATCAAAAATTTTGTTTAATTTTGTACTAATGGTTCTTATCAATGAACATTTTATTTAGTTTCGTCTTGATGCTTTTCATCATTGAAAATCTTGTTTAGTTTTGTCCTCATGCTTTTTATCATTGAAAATCTTGTTAAGTTTTGTTTTCATGATTTTTAAATAAAGGTTTTTGATTTGAGTTAGCATTTAGAAAGACTTCCAGTGTTTTTTCACTTAAAAGCGTCTTAAGTCTTCAACGGAAATTAACCTGTGATGCGTTTTAAAAATTAATATTTAAAACTGATGCTACATAATCATATGTGAGGCTATTCAATTGTCAAATACCTTTAAACATAAGAGAACAATAAATTATTTAAAAGTAATTCACGCTTCTTTTCATCCAAAATATTTAGAAATAGCCTTACTCCATTAGTAGGTCACCGTGACCTATATTGGTTTGATTGTGATTGATTGACACAATCTCAGTCAATCAAATTTATTAACTAACAACGTTTGATGAATTTAAGCATCTTTGTATCCAAAATATTGAGTTAAAAGTATGAAATTCTTAAAATAGGTCATGGTGATCTTTTTGGTTCAATACTCTCAGGACCCAAGAAGTATCATCTGGAAAAGTTTTACGATTTCAAGCCTCTTATTATCAGAAAAAATTAGATACAGATATCAAAAGTAGACCACTTTGACCTACTTTTTGGGTGACATGCTTTGAGAACTGAAGATACATCAACTGACAAACATGTTGATTCTAAGCGACTGTTTATCCAAAATATTGATATAGCCTTGAAATATCACAGGTATAGGTCACCATGACCTACTTTTTAGTTGATGCACTCCAAGGACTCAAGATGCATCAGCTGACAAAATTAAATAAAAAAGCAACAACCTAATTAAAATAAATTTATGTAGAAATATAATTCCTCATGAATACACATCAGCAGAAAACTAAATACATAAAACAAATTTTATCCGATTGATTTCATAAAAAAATATATATAATCATTTCTACAAATATGCACTTTCGGCACAATATTACAAAATTAAAGAAAATTATAGAAAACGCGGAAATCCATGATGTTAAATAGTCTAAATGAAGATATTTTCACATGCCTTAAAGTTCATTCTTGTTTCTCTAGAGTCAAATTGACCTCATGAGAGCACATCACACTGTCAGGCTTACAGTAATAATCAGTCATGTCTGTTAATTTTTTTTCTGCTGGTAACTGATTTCAACTTCTACTCTCAACCCGTGGTTCATTATTATAAATTTAACATCTCTGCATAAGGCTGTATATGTATGAAAGTAACCCTGATTAATTGCTAATTTCTATGCTTTTCACTGTAATTCTATCTGTCTTTGTACACCCCTTGAATTCATCTTTAAGCACTTCACAATTATTACTTTTTTCACATTAAATTCGTATGATTTTTTTTCAGTCTGCCTTTTCACTAATGTTCTCTAAAACAAATAACACTTAATTGTATATTTGAAAGGAACAACTGAAGAGCATAAACCATTTCCCACTCAAATCATAATCACATTTTTTCCACCAGTATGAGTTTTGATGGGACTTCAAGTGTCCTTTGCTATTTTCACTACCTTTTTAACATAACTTTTTAATATTACTTCATGTGTATTTTCAACGGTGTCTTTAATAAACACTTTTCCACACACATCACAAATATGTATACTCCTAGATGTGTTTTCTAGTGTCTCGTAAAGTAAGTGAATGTCCTCAAAACACATCACAAATATGTATACTCCTAGATGTGTTTTCTAGTGTCTCGTAAAGTAAGTGAATGTCCTCAAAACACATCACAAATATGTATACTCCTAGATGTGTTTTCTAGTGTCTCGTAAAGTAAGTGAATGTCCTCAAAACACATCACAAATATGTATACTCCTAGATGTGTTTTCTAGTGTCTCGTAAAGTAAGTGAATGTCCTCAAAACACATCACAAATATGTATACTCCTAGATGTGTTTTCTAGTGTCTAGTTTTCTAGTGTCTCTGTAAAGTAAGTGAATGTCCTCAAAACACATCACGTTTGTTGTTGTTTATCAAATGTATCACCTTTTTTTCCAAATGTACATGAATGTATCTTCATGTCTCATGTGTTCTTTTTCAATCAATGCCTTTCCACGTACACATCACATAAATGAAGTTTTTCTCCTTTGTGTATATTGAATCATTGACTAACTTTCCACAAAAATTACATGTTATTTCATTACATCCAAACTCCCGAACTTCTTCCCACACACATCACCTTTATTAGGATCATCATCTGTAAATGTGTCCTTAAGTATATCTGTTAATGTTCAGATCAATCTTTCAAACTTTCCACTGTCACATAGAAAAGGGGTTTTCTCCAATGTCTGATAAACTTCTTTTAAAAGACCTCACCTTCATAGGAGGTTTCACTAGCATACATGTTCATATATGTTATCTTTACGTGTTGATACGCTGAAGGTATGATTTATACACATACATATTTATGTGGTTGAAGTGTCCTGTATGTATCGTTATGCATCTCTGTAAAATTCTTATTTGACTGGATTGAATATCTTCCCAAGTACAATACACATTTAAGTCAAGTAATCGGGTAAATGTCGTTTCACATACATTACATTTAACATATTTTATCACCTTTACATGTCCATGTGCGTTTTAGTACGATATGCGGTCGGTAGAATGTCTTTTCACTCACACATCACATTTATAAGGTTTATCACCAGTATGTTCTCTCAGGTGCTTTTATATGGATTCTGAAAAAGAGAAAGCCTTCCAACACATTACAAGGTACGTTTGTTTTCTCTAAAGTGTCTGTAAGTGATCTGATCACTTGTGTGTTGTCTAACACAAATCACATAGTTTTCTTATCAGTATGTGTCCTCCTGTGTCTCTGTAAAACATAGGATCGTTAAACGTTTGTAAGATGCCTTCTCACACACATAAAATTGACTCAATGTCTCAACTGTCAGGTGTTCTGAGCAGTTATAAGTGTTTTTTACCTGTACAGTATGTGTCCTCTTGTGTTTCTGTAAAGCACATAATCGGTAAAATCGCTTTTTACACACATCACATTTTTAAAGTTTTTTTAACAGTATGTATCCTCATGTGTAGCTTTGCATAACCTGATTGGTTGAATGCCTTTCCACAGACATCACATTTATAAGGTTTCTCACCTGTATGTATCCTCACGTGTTTTTTTAAGTGTTCTGGTTGGTAAAATGCCTTTCCACATACAACACATTTATGACGTTTTTCACCTGTATGTGTCCTTATGTGTCTACGTAAAGCACCTGATTGGATAAATACCTTCCCACACACATCACATTTATAAGGTTTTTCACCAGTATGTGTCCTAATGTGTAGCTTTAAGTTAGATGAGTGTATAAAAGATTTCCCACACAAATCACACTGATAAGGTTTTTCACCTGTATGTGTCCTTTTGTGTATATGTAAGTTATGCGAGTGTGTGTATGCCTTTCCGCATAAACTACATAAATAAGGCCTAATAATTTTGTGTGTCTCTTTGTGTCTCTCTAGTTGTCCTAATTGGTTGAATACTTTCCTACACACATCACAATTATAGGGTATATTACATGTATGTGTCCCTGTAAGTGTAGGCAAGGATGCTTTTAGATTGTAGGCTTTCTTATACACGTTACATTTGTAAGGTTTCCCATGTGTGTGTGTCCTCATGTGGCTCTCCATGCAAGTGACCATCTTTCCACACACTTTGCACAGAAAGGATCCTCTATAAATAGAAATCCTTACTGGTTCATCAAACCGCCCAGTTTGATAATTTACCATCTTGCACATATCAACAAATGGGTTTTTACATTGATGTGTTTTCATGTGTCTTTCTAAATCAAATTTTGCAATGACCTCCAGACACACATCACATTTCAATAGTTTCTCACATGCCTGTCTTCTCATGTGCTTCTGTAAGTATTTTTTTGTACCAAAGGACTTTCCACACTTGCCACAATTAAAAGACTTTTTCCGAGTATGCGCCATCAGGTGTCTGTTCAAGTATTCTTTTTCAGCAAAGGTTACAAGACTGTTATCATTATGTGTCTTCATATGTCCAATCAAATGCCCTCTTTCAATGTATGCTTTTCCACACTTGTCACATTTATGAGGTTTTTCACTTGAATGCATCTTCCTGTGTCTCGTTAAACCCCCAGATTTACTAAACACCTTCCAACAAACATCACACTGATAGAAAGCTTTTTCCAGATAAGTGTTGTTTGGTATCTCCATGTTATTTGACTGACTGCATGTCTCTTTATACTTGGAAAGTTTTTCAACCCTAGGTGACCTTGGATCTTTTTAAGAGTCAGGTGCTTAATAAGAAATCCTTTGTTTTTCACTTTCGTGAGTCCACAAGTGTACCTTTAAATCTTTTTTGTCTCTGATTTTCCTCTGAAACACATAATATTGATCTTTTTTTTCACCAGTATGTATCTTCATGTGCCTCTGTAGGTGCCCTAATATAGAGAATACTCTTCCACACACATCAAATTTATATGGTTTTTCGACTTAATGTTTTCCCACAAATGCTACATTTATTAGTCTTTTTCCTTATACGAGTATTTATGTGCATCTCTACATTCTTTTTCTGGTGTCATTCTCATTAACTCTTCATTATTGCTTTAAATGTGTGATCAGGTTGATAGAGCAGCCTCAATCCCCTGTAAACATAACAAAATTGTTTCTTTTAATGCAATTTTATCAAGAAACTTGTTTAATGATCTTAATATGTAGATGTCAATCATTCCACATAAATGAACCAGCAGTGTGCAAAATATTGCCTTTTTATTTAAAGCTTGAGATAATAAGCACCGCCTTAAAAAATATCTGGTCTGTATACCCACATCAATCAAGTGAGTTAAGGTCTCTCATTGGGTGCTTGAAATTGATTGACATTTAGCTTCTAGTCCCAGTGTATTTACTTGTACTTATTGTTTGGCGCTTGTGCTGACCATCAAATAAATATTTGGTCTTGATGTTTAGAGCATATTTAACAGTGTTATTACAATGTACTTATAAAAAGCTGTATGGATGCAAAATTTTAGCTTGATTATAATTATCTATAGTACACACACATGAAAGATAATTTTGTCTAGTAATGATTCTGTTGTAAGCAAGAGCTTCCAGTGTTCTTCCATAACAAAGTCATAGCCCAAACAAGCGGACAGACAGATGGATGAACTGACAGATGGACAAGGTAATTCCCATATACATGTACCTTCCCAAACTTCGTTTGCCAGGGGTATAATTTCAGAAAAACGAGGTCAAGGTCAAAGGAAAGTTCAAGGTATTAAATGATGAAGTTAATAACTCTTCTCAATATGCATCAGCAAATAAGATTTGATAAAATATCTTGCATTGTTTCTTTGAAACTAAGCAAAACTCAGTGAAATAATAGTGAGGTCAAGTTGAAAGAAAAGGTCGAGGCCGATTTTTTTTTTCCAAAATGAATAATTCTCATCAATAGGTTTCACCAAATGAAGTTCTATAGAAATATCTTGAATAGTTTCTTTAAAACTGACCTCAACACAATATTTCAATCAGTAAGGTCAAGGTCAAAAGAAAGGACAAGGTCAGGTCAAATTGATGAAGTTAAATAACTCCCTCCAGTATGTTTAAGCATATAAGATTTTAATAAGAATATCTTGAGCAGATTCTTTGAATTCTAGCTCAACACATTTTTTTGAAAAAGGAGGTAAATGTCCAAGGAAAGGTCAAGGTTCAAAAAGTGTTGATGCAGTTGAAAACACTTATCAATATGTAAGAACATATAAAGTTTGATAAAAGTATCATGAATAGTTTCTTTGAAACTGAGCTCAACAAAATTTTTGACAAGAGGCCCATGGACCACAACATTCACCTGAGTCAATTTGATCCTACTGTTTGGCATCATTTTTTATTTTATCAATAAACATGTACATATTCCTGTGTAAAATTTTGATGACCTTTTGTGGTCCGCCATTAACACAGAGGCAGTAATTTGAAAAATTGAATCATAGATCTACACTA